TAAGGGGGGCGCCATGGTGGCGAGATGTTAACTACCTCACCTGGTATGGAGGAGGTGGTGGGTTTGATCCCGATCCTGACGACTGTATATTTAGAGTTTGCATGTTCTTCCCGTGGCCATGTGGATTTTTCCCCGGATCCTCCCGTTTTTCTGTCCACATTTAGAAACATGAGTTTAGAGTAAATGGCTGCTATAAATTTCCACATGATTAGCCACTTAATTAAGCTATCACTTGTGGCTAGGTCGCCTCTGATGAAGAGCAATATAGCTCAGTGGGCCTTACCTGGTAAAATACAACATAGTTTAGTTTCAAGGCACACCTACTCAGGCTATATGCATATCATTTGTGATAATATGTGTGTCTTATAAATTGTATGTATTAGTGTTATATTATTTTTATTGTTAGTGTAGGGGTGTTAAAGAGAGGGCCCGTTATGCATGGCAGCCTATGGAAAACAAACACAGTGGGCGGGGCTACGTAAGTGCACGAGCAAGTGCCCTCTACGACGTCCGAGCCAGACACCCTGGGGGGGGCTGGTTCGAACGTTATGATCCCCCGGGGCCCCACCACTCAGGGAGGGGTTGGGTATAAAAGGGGATGTTCAAAGGGCTCGAGTCAGTTATGTTTTAGCTAAGGGAAGAAGATTGAAGACGTCTTAGATAGAGCCCTGGACTCCCCTGGTTCGATGTCCTTTTCAGGGCCGGACAGGATTGAGCCAGCGGCGTGGTCCCGAAAGCCAGAGCCGGTGCTCTTGTAAGAGCTGGTCTGGAACTCCGGGTACCGGGCCCGACTTACCAGTGTCGGGCCAGTTAGCCTCCCCTAGCCCAGTAGTGGAGGATTCGGGGCTAGGACAGAGTTAGCTAGGGGTGTATCCCGAGTTATACGGGTGAGGGGGCCGATACCCCCTCGAGTGTGTATATGCCCACTGTCATATTGTGAATAAACATACGTGTGCCTCAACCTCGGCGTCAAGCGTCCTCACCGGTACTTCATTAGCACCAGCTCATCACCTGGCTGCCTTCTCGCTTGTCCATGATTTCTTACAGCGCTGAGTTGTTCTCCCCGAGAGTGAACAGAAACTCTGGTGGCGCATTACGAGGCTCAATCATGAAATGAAATCAAGTAAGAAACATAGAGAGTCTTTGCTCTGTCGCAGGTGCCGAAGGTGACAAGGGAGTGGTATGGGCATTACATGTGCCTCGTGGAAACCTGGCGCTGGATAATCCTGGGGCCGATGTGGACATTTGTGGAAAATGCCAGCGCAGAAGTCGTGCTGATGAGTAGAGGTGGGTGAAGTGGAGGGATTAATCTGAAAAATATAAATAATCGGGCCTAGATACGATCTTAAATCTTCTTTGTTGCGGATCTATCTGGAACTGGGAGTCACGTCACTAATTTGACATCACTACCATGTTTTTCATGTAGCATTGGTTGATGTCACGTTATATAATATAACAATGTAACTATTCCATTAGACCTCCTTTGCCAGTACCAAAATGTAATAATAGGGGTTTTCCCCTTTTTTCTCGCAACAAAACTGAAACCTGTTTACAAGGAATCATGTGTGCATTAACCACAATACTTGTGGTCAAAATGCAAACAAAAAACACACTCTGATAACATATGCATTGCCCTTCAAACTGATTGGTCCACACCAGAGATGGCTTTCTTTTGAGCTTTGTCTCAATTGGTTCTAGACCAGAGGACGCGAAAACGCAAATAGTAATGCACTATTCCTCTGGTCTAGCACCAATTGAGACGAGGCTCAAAAGAAAGCCATCTCTCGTGTGGACCAATCAGTTTCAAGGACAATGCATATATTACCAGAGTGTGTTATAGCTTAAAAAATTAGTATTCTTTGTTTTTTCGACTTGACTTTACTGAAAGAACCAAGGAATATGAATTCCTGCAGTCACGAAAAGTTTTAAGTCAAAATTTATGGAAATAGTATTTTAAAAAGCTAATCAACATTTGGTTGTCTGTCACAGGTAGAAACCTTCAACAACCAAGGAATGTGACAAAAAGTAAGCTGTTTTCATGAATTCATATATAAACATTTTGCACTGTTTCTCTTCCAAGTGTAACTGAAATATTATTTTTTCTACCAACAGATATAAATATTCAGCCATCAGTGGAAACTTCAACAAGTAAGCTAGTCTAACATCTAGAAATGCTCAATTTGTTAAATACACTTAAATAATTTCTTGAAATGTTTCTTAGTAAGTGTAAATGTCACAGAAAAATATATTTATTCCGATTCCGTGCACCTCGTCCTTTTAAAAATCCATCACACGTGGCATACAGCCATCACGCTCACGTCGGCACCATGCTTAGATGTATGCTCATTTACCCAGGACAGCCTGGCTGAGTCTCAAGACTCTTCATCATGAGGGCCTGCCAAATGTATAAAGCAGGGGAGTGATGTTGCTGTGTGTAACCCCGATTGAGCAATTTGCAGGTAATTTTATCATTGGAATGTTTTGGCCAATACCCAAATATACTGTATTTATTCAGTTTTATCGACGATCATGATTTATTACAGAATGACCACCATGTCTTTGTGCTCCACCCTGTATGTGATAGGCATCGTGCAAGTGAACAGCACGGGCAACGGAACGCAGTCACTTGTGCCCACTGTGTTGCTGTGCGGCAGCCTGCTTCTGACAGTGGCAGCATTACCCTGTGTGTGCTGCTGTGTCATGAAGAAACTGCCATTGCGAAAAGGTAAAACACCTTCATCGTTGTCAGTGTCATTTGTGGCCCGTCCTGTGATGTCTTTATGGAATGAGCCGTTTGGTTTGGTTGTGTCAGGGAAATGTCAGTCAGTGGCCTGGTGGGTTTGGTGGCACCTTTTGCAGCACTTAAGGTCAGGTTATAATCAGCGTGTTAAGCAGCTCGCTTCCTAGCCGTGAGATCAAATTCCAGCCAGGTTCAATTCGGCTCCTGATCTCAGCCCGCTAATGGAGCTGATCGTTGCACAAACATGTATGTGATCGTGAAGAGACGTTTGGCTTGATTTTCTTGTTACTTTAGCCACTGTGGTGCTCGTAGGGTAAAGTGAGCTGCACGTTGTGCGACTGTGTGGCTGCATGAAGCCAAAATACCTTTGCTAAAAAGACCCCAAGGTGTCCGACCAGGCGGCTGACGCGACACATTTCCATAGAGTGCCCTTGACCGAGAACCAACAGCTTTCTAATGCGGCGCTAAGCACACCATCATGGAAAATCACGCTAGCCTCTGGACACAATTGCACATAATACGCAATCAAAACAGCACGTCAAAAGCATGGATGCCTCGAGACTAGACCAACGTGTACAATGACATTTTTACTCTGTCACGTGACATCAGTTGCAATATAATTTTGTCTTTTCTGAACAGATGAAGAATCATCAGTGGATCAGCCAGAACAGTGAGTCCAATCAGAGTCTAACAAAGAGACTATAAGCCGCAATCAATCACCATCCATCTCCAGAGCCCACCCACGCCACTCCAGTCCTGAAATAACACAAAGAGGACTTCCCCCATAAATGATCAGAAATTGCTTTTATGAAATAACAAGTGAATAATGTTGAATTTTGTTCTATTCTTCAGTTTGAGTGACAAAGAAAAGGAACATCCAGAAAATATGTACGATAAGCCTCAAGGTAAATGGCCAATTGTAATTGCAATTAAATGTACGCACATTAAAATCACACTTGTAAAACGCGTCATAGTCATAGAGGAAATGTGTGCTTCCCACTGATGTTTTCTTGTGCTTGTGGCCGGCTCTGTGCAGGCCCTAAAGCGCCCACCCCTGCCGTTGTCGCTAAGGAAGGTAAGGTCCTGCAAACGTGCAACACGCCTGTAAATAACGCCCTTTACATTTAAGTGATGTTAAACTTGTAAGAAAACACAAGTTATGCCCTGTTACTCATATACTTCATCAAGTGCTGTATATATTACCGTTCCATTGTGAGCTTTCAGGCATTTTGAGCTAAAAACATTTAAAGGACTGCAGTGGCAATAATATTTTAATAAAAAAAAGACAATAATTTGAAGTCCTCCTTTCTTTGCCCGCAGATCGCAGCGAGTACGTTGAGATGTCAAGTTGCAGTGCGCACGTGGATAAAAACGATTACCAGGTGATGGGACCTCGCATTTGCAAACCGTCACTTAGCAACTATTTAAACAAATGATATAGCATCTGGCTGTGATTCACAAAAGCAGGTCATCACCCCACAGGATTAATTAGGCACAGGATCATTTGTTTGGGTTGTGCCGTGCTTTCCCCCTGCGTTTTTCCTGTGTAGTGAGCAGTTCAAGTGGTTGGCCCACAATTTGGGGGCTCAAAAAAATGTAACTGCACTATTTTTTGGTATGGAAATACAACACGGTTGTGGCATATGGTTTTCATTGTTGCCACTGTTAATGTATTGTTGTTATTATTCTCGTGTTGTTTTGTAACAGTGCATGAAGGTTGTCTTAAATATTGTCATGTATATTATGTTTGAAGGTCTATTTTATGAATATTCTTGATGATATTACTGTTTTACTGCCGACACTATATATGAACTGTATCGACAACATGGTTACGTGATTGTGTGGCTTGACATTGAGGAAACTGCACACCCTTTGTCCGAAAGAAAAAACGCTCGACAGAGTGGCACTCACGTGGTTGGCTTTGCCGTTGGGGTGGATGCTGGTTTAAGGAAACTCATTTTTTGAAGGACTTTACCTCTTTGCCTGTCAGAGCTGGCACAACAGTTAAAGCTGCTCTGATGAATATGTGTATTGGCTGCTTCCCCTGGTTTTTTTTTGGCAAGGAATTAACAACACTGGAGAAAATTTGCATTTGAACCTGCTGTACTGTCGATAAGGGCCATTGTTTGCCTCATTTATCTCGTAAATAAAGCGGTAATATATTTTCGTCACGTATCATCGTCACTACATTGGCTCGAACAAACACATGACAAATGCACACGCAAACGAGTGAGTTTCCGGTAACGGATCGGGCACGTACGGTCGGTGCCGGAGACAACTATGCTCCTCATGGAGGCGTAGGAGATGGGGTTGAGGTCCTCGCGGTCCAGCTGTAGCCCCGTGGTGCGGATCTTTCCGGACGCGGTGTTGATTCGGTAGAAAGGGTTCGGCGGATCGATGGCGTACACGAGCGTGCCGTTCTCATTAAGGTCCGGGTCGGCTGCCGACACCTGTGGCGAGAGCAGTCGTGCCGTGACGTTCACTCGTGGGTACCCCCCACCCCCCGTGCCACCTCCCCATGGCACCTCGTCAACAGCGGCACTTAATTAAACCGCTGCTCTTACTTCCAGTGATGTGGCATTGTGTTCCCCGTTCGTGGAGAAAGAACTGCCATTTCCATAATTTTTGCTTATCGCCTGTGGCAGACGTGGTTAATTCAGTCCAGATAAACCCCATTAATTAGGGCTCATGCAACCTACGGGTGCCGCCGCTTGCGTGGGGTAAACAATAGCGAGCAGACGACACCTTCTCTGCACAAACGGGACCCTCGTCCTGCTGCCGCCGGGTTTTTTTTTGTCCGCCCAGCACGACGGCGCATTTTATGTGTTGTGCATCGTGTTCGATTTTGAGCAATACACTGAGGAAATGTAATGTGTGAGATAATTCATAGTCAAATAGACGAATGAACTAGCAAATGGATTTAAATTCAATTAAAGTGACTGATCACATCATTGATTCAGTCAACAAAGCAATAAAAAAACATAATTAGCTAATGAAGACTTATGTAGTATCAGCCACATGTGCATCCAGTTTAAGTGGTTTTACAGAGACTTGGCGAGAATGTCCGAGCCCTGAATCAATAAAAAGTATTCTCTTCTGAATATTAAACCCAACTGCATTTGTCCACATGCAATGGCCGTAATATGTTGCCTTGGTAAGTTTGTCAAGGCAGTGATATTCTGCTGGAATGAGTTCAAGGGCAGTGTCCCGATTATAGCCCTGAGCTAGCGATGGAAATTCCACATTCCTGTTGTGGGAGTGAGTTTTCCCATTGAATAATCACCGTAGCGCCACAGTGGTAACATTTTACCGACCGCTAATGGGTTGATGGACCGAGCCAACCCCCTGACCGGGATTTAGACCTTGTGACCTTTCCGTTGCGAGCCGCTGAGCGACCGCGCTGGAACACTGTTGCCCTGGGGGAACTGATTGCAGGAGGGTAGAGACCACCCCTCCCCCCGTCCTCGTGTGACCCTCGTGACGGTGCCTCTGCTGCATGTGGGCAGCGGCGGCGAGTGGCGACGAGCAGCGGTGGCGCACCGTGAAGATGTCGGTGCCGCCCGGTGTATTCTCCACGATGGTGACGGCGTAGGGCAGGTCTCTCCACGCGGGATCGTTGTCGTTCACGTCCAGCAGTGTGATGTTCACCTGCCATACCGGGTTAGCCAATTTATGGAACACACAGCATTGAATTTATGAAAGGCACACAGCCTAATTTTTCCAACACCCATAAACGTGTGATGCATGTGCGATTGGAACAGTTGTAAGACCAGGCCCATCCTCCCAGCTGATGTTTTGCTGTACTGGAGCTGGGTGCGGTTATTTTCTGTGACTGGGCTGTACATTTTATGTAATTTTCCAAGGCGTACACTGTAGATAGAGGATATAATAACTGGGAATTTTCCGAGTGAAAGCATTTCTGAAATTGGGCCAATGGAACGCTCAACCAATCTCTCAGCTTTGATGAACTGGCAAACGACCGAAGCATGCCACAGCTCAACGCCCGGTGAGAGGCCCCCATTGTACGGCGAGCCAGCGTGACCCCGCTCTGCCACCGCGGACGTACGGTGGCGATGCCGGTCTTCTGGTCGTTTCCATCCCCTCCATCCACCGCCCGCACGATCAGGATGTACTGCGACACCGCCTCGCGGTCCAGCAGCGTGGTGCTCGTGACGTCTCCTGTGGGGACACACGCACGACGGCCCCGGTGGGCGAGCGCGGACCCGCAGTCGTCATGCCGCTTGGGGCACATCGACTCTTCACACGGCAGCAGCGCAGTCAGTCAGCAATAGTGGCAACTGTTTTCCAGTTTCACATATGGCTTAGTAATTTTCTCTAATTAGATTTCATTTTTCCCAGGACACTTTGTGCGGGCTAATTACTGAGGGTGTAACAGCTCATTGATTCATTGATTAAACTGGATTCATACCACAATGGGAACTTGGTAAGCAGTTTCCGTGTTGCGGTGGCTCATGATGCGTGCAGAGCATGGTGGTTTTAGGAAGTGATTATGTATTATTATCTTTGCATATTTCATTGTATATGTAAATTATGGTAATGTTACATTTAGGGTATTAAACAAAATATTTTACAACTGAGACAGAACAAATGAAAAACAATACAAACGAGACAAAAAGCAATTAATTCTCGAGTCAAAACTGTGACCACGAATGTCCATGTGCGTATGTGTGCTGGACTTCTTTCGCACCATACGTTGTCAACCGTGCTAATCAGAGGTGTGGGGGAAGGACAACAAACTAAAAACAAAAGCAGTTCTAATGACATTAGTTTTCAATCCAGATGATTTAAAAGTGCATAGCTTCAGTGGCGTCCTAATATCGGAAGTAAGAGTGTTATAGACGGCCGCAGAAGCAGTGCATCTGAAAACGAGCGATGCAATGACCATCTTTGTTCCATGGTTAACTATAAAGCCGCTGCTGCGAGGATGACCAGACTTTGCATAATGGTTTAAGCTCGTTGACGAATCCAGCAAAGGTATGGCTAGCCTCGAGGTCTTCAGAACCCAGACAGACAAGTAGTTCACATTTTAAGCTATAACATCTATGTGAGCATGAGGACCCAACATTAGAGTTAAAAATATTCCATTTTGTCATTTAATAGAGAAAAAAAAATGTAACAGCCAAAACCGAGTGGTAGATTTGTACATGGAAATTGTTCAAGGGTTTCCGTTAAATTTGTTATTCAAAGATAATTTCATAAATAATGCAGCAGCTCAGCAATAAAAAAAACTAAATTTTTGTAAAATTTATATGAGAAGTCAACCGGACGTTCAACTCTTGATGGGAAACTGGCAGCACCAGCTGGGCCCCGTTCGGTGATGGTGCTGCCATGCCAGAGGATGAGACCGGGAGCTCAGACAGAGCAAGTGTGAGGAGCAGTCACCGAGGACGCGGCGCTGCGAGTCGCCACGGAGTGAAAGACACTCATATTAATCATACTTGGAAACAAGTATGATTAATAATATTACATTCAAAAGGTGATATCCAGATCACAAAGGGTGTGATGTATGTATGTTGAATTTCTTTCACACCGTACCTAGCCAATCATGCTAATCGGAGGTGTGGGGAAATAAAAACAAACTAAACACAAAAATAAGTTCTAAAGAATTAGTGATTGTGACCAGAGGCTCAATCCTCCCAGAATGCCTTGCATGCCACGTGGCATCGCCAACCTGCGTATGTAAGAAACACAGCCTTGCTCGAGACCATCGACGCAAAACAGTCAAATCATGGACACGTTATTTTATACAGCAGCAGGACAGTGAGCATCTCTATACGCCGGCTTCAGGAATCCTCATTACAGTGTGGCGGTCGTCACTACCTTGTGATTCAGGGGCATTCATGTGCACAAGCGGTCCCTGATCACTTTGGGCAAGTAATGACTCACCCCTTCCACAATTTGGATCCACGATTCAATCCAAGCATCAGCCCCTTCTTCGTCTCACGAGTGCCATCCCGTTGCTTTGACGCATTCACTTCTTAACCTGAAGCCATTCAAAGTGGCTCAGCGGCAAAGCGAAGGGCTCAAAGTTGGAAGGTTGTGAGTTCAAATCCTGTTTGGGGTCGACTCAGCTCATCATTCCTCCGGGGTCGATACAACGAGTATCACAGGAACTCGCTTGGTTTTGAGCCTGAAGCCAACATTTGCATGTAATTTGTATAAACCGTAATTCGTATATCCTTACGTGCTCTATTCGATGCATGCACCATGAGTGTAAGGTTTTACTCTCGTCGCTCAACTGGTGACATGTTTGGATGCGTGCGAACGAGCGACCTCCTACTGACCAGAGCGAGCGTTGATTCGGAACTGTGTGGAGCCCTCCAGAGAGTAGATGAGAGACAGCTGACCGTACTCTGGCGATTGGTCGCCATCTGTGGCATTCACGTACAGCACCGTGGCACCTGCAGGGAAGGACAAAACTCAATGCAGCAATGATGACCTTTGAACAACGAAATGCATAGCATAAATTAATTAAACATTTATTTGAAAAAAAGTTTTAATTTCAACTTCTGTTGTTACTAATACAGGTAGCCCTTGGCAAAGCAGGCAATGTTTCAAGTGTTCGAATCTTTAAAAAAATAATGTTGTTTCAGAAAAGATTCTCATCTTACCCGCCAAAATATTTTCTGGAATAGCGATGCTGTAGGAATTCCGGTCAAAAATGGGGCTGTTGTCATTTTCATCCTGCGATTGAAACAAATCACAATGAACACGCTGGCATTCTTGGCTGAAATATTATTTGACCATTGTCTTTACCACTGCCAAAAGCAGAAAAAACTTCAAATAATTGATGTTTAAGGTAGTGGCTCTTCTTCAGGCCACAGAGAAAGGACAGGCAGGAAGACTACTGACAAAACATACAATGCAATGTCGTGGTGGATTGTTATTATTATGCTTGTTTACCAATAATGATTACGTCTCACTCCTCTTAAAAAGTGTCAATGTTTCTTATCAAGTGTCAATGTCATTGAATAATATTCCCGTGTACCTTGTCCTTTTCAAAATCCATCACACGTGGCACACAGTCGGCACGCTGATGTCAGCATCATGCTTAAGATTGACGCTCATTTACCCAGGAAAGACTGGCTGAGTCTCAAGGCTCTTTCTTATGAGGGTCCTGCCAATTGTTCACAGTAGAGGGAAATCTTGCGTTGTGTAATCCACATTGAGTAATGTGCAGGAAACGTTTCAGCACTGTGATGTTTGGGAGGATGGAAGAGAACCTAAAGGAAATCCCAATGCAGAACAGGGGGAGATCATACAAACTCCACTCACTCACTCTGTAGAACAGGGGGAGATCATACAAACTAGACTCACTCACTCTGTAGCACGGGGACAGATCATACAAACTCCACTCACTCACTCTGTAGAACAGGGGGAGATCATACAAACTCCACTCACTCACTCTGTAGAATAGGGGGAGATAATACAAACTCCACTCATTTACTCTGTAGAATGGGGGGAGATCATACAAACTCCACTCACTCACTCTGTAGAACAGGGGGAGATCATACAAACTCCACTCACTCACTCTGTAGAACAGGGGGAGATCATACAAACTCCACTCACTCACTCTGTAGAATGGGGGGAGATCATACAAACTCCACTCTCTCACTCTGTAGATTGGGGGGAGATCATACAAACTCCACTCATTCACTGTAGAACAGGGGGAGATCATACAAACTCAACTCACTCTCACTCTGTAGAACAGGGAGATATCCTAAAAAACTCCACTCACTGTCACTCTGTAGAACAGGAAGAGATCATACAAACTCCCCTCACTCTCACTCTGTAGAACAAGGAAGATACCCTAAAAACTCCACTCACTCTCACTGTGTAAAACAGTAAGCGATCATACAAATTCCACTCACTCTGTAGAACAGGGAGGGATCATACAAACTCCCCTCACTCTCACTCTGTAGAACAGGGAGTGGTCATACAAATGTAGGGGTGTTACGGAGGGGCTGTTATACATGGGATCACACGGGAAACAAACACAGTGGGCGTGGCTACGTGAGTGCACGGGGAGGTGATCCCAACGACGTCCGCGCCGGGGAGCCTGGGGGGCTGCCCGGAGTTGTGATCCCCCGGGGCCCCACCCCTCAGCCGGGGTTTGGTATAAAAGGGGATGAGCCGGAGGGCTCGGGGAGATAATGTTAAAGCTGAACCAGTGAAGACCGAAGACCGTCTAGGTAGAGCCCTGGACTCCCCTGGGTCGCTGCCCTTATCAGGGCCGAACAGGACCGAGCCAGCGGCGTGGTCCCGAGAGCCAGAGCCGGTGCTCTTATCAGAGCTGGTCTGGGACTCCGGGTACCGTAAGCCCGACTTACCAGTGTCGGGCCAGATAGCCTCCCCGAGCCCATTAGAGGAGGACTAGGAGGTAGGTTAGACATAGCTAGCAAGTGTATCCCCAGCTAGCCGGGTGAGGGGGCCGATACCCCCTCCAGTGTTGTATGTCCGTAAATTGTGCCTACTGACGCGGAATAAATACGTGTGCCTCCAACCCCGGCGTCCAAGAGTCTTCAACTATATAACATCTGGTGTCAGAAGTAAACCACGAACATGGACACGCGCCGGACAGCTCGAGCCAGGGTACCGGAGGCAGAGGACACCGCTGCAGTTGTGGAGCCCGAGACGGCTGAAGAAGGCATCGAGCAGCCGGGACCGGATGCATCCACACCGCAGCATCGGGAGGATGGGGGGCCGTCGACAGATGGACTAAGGCAGGCGCACGCGAAACTGGCGGAGCTGCTGTACGCCGCTGCCGCCACGCTGGACCAGATCACACGGCTGGGGGCTGGTGGACCGCCACGGGACGACGACAACCGACGACCAGCGCGCCTTCCCGCCATTTCGACGGAGCCCGACTTTGAATTTCCCGCCATCGCTGCAGCAGCTGCTGAGGGCGTGGCCGGCCTGAGCCTCGCGTCCGACGGCGGGCGCACCAGCGGACAGAGCGTCACCACGGGTGCGACCGGCGATACTATCCGTCGCTCGTGCCGAAGCAGAGCCGGGTGAGGGGGACGACGGAGAGCGACCTTCCAAGGCGGCCGCTGCGCTGCATCAACGGCTACCTCCACTCAAAGCGTTTGTGGGCGAGGATGGCGACTGGGGCGGCTTCCAGCGCCGCTTCCTCACACACCAGGAAATGGCGCAGTGGACAGATGCCGAGGCTCTCCGCGCGCTGCCGGCGCTCCTCGACGGCGACGCCCTCGCCACTCTTACATCGGCGCCGAAGAAAAAACGCTCCACGCTACAGATGGCACTGCAGTTGCTGGCTGCAGTCTACGGACCACCGTCGGACTGCAGACAGCTCTTTTATGATCGCCAGCGGGGTGCAAAAGAGTCGCCCCTGGCATATCGTACAAGTCTCCTGGCACTGGCAAAGACGGCCTTCCCACGAATGGACAACGAAGGCGTGGACGCTATGGTTACGGAGAAGATACTCCTGCTGGCGGACGACTTGGATATCGTCGTCGTGGCACAGGACGAGGCAGAGATGTGTTCCCTCCAGGCTGCACGACTCCTCCACGCAAACCTGCTCTCGCAACGACGGAAGGCCAGCAAGGCGGCGAGCGGGCGTGCTGTGGCTGCAGTCACCCTCCCGGACGAGGAAATTTGTGCCGTCGACGGCAGCAGGGAGCGGAAGTACGGGGGGGCCGGGACGGATCGACCTACCTCGACCATCCATCGTCGTCGCCAGCGCTCCCGCGCTGTTACAACTGCGGCATCCGGGGCCATGTCGCCTCGGGGTGCCGCTCTCCTCGACAGCACAGGACGACGCCTCGACGGGACGCCGGCCCTCCTCCCAAGCTCCATCGACATAACCCGGCGAGTCGCGGCACCCCTCATGTTTGGCCCATGCACAAACCCATCACACACTCGCACACCGCAACGAACGGGGGGGCCGACATTGCACGCGTCGCGCCAACACGCACCACTGTGGGGACTCATATCGAACCCAGCCAGTGGTCCGTGTTGGCCCATCACGTTGTGGCTGCATCGTCGGGGTCATCAGCCGTTGTGGGACACATTGACGGGGTTGAGGTGCGCATCCTGGTCGATACGGGAGCATCGGCGACTATCATTTCGGAACTAATTTACAATATTCTCCCTGTCCAGAGCCGTCCCTTGCTGCCCGTTAACGTGCCATTCTACGCTGCTAACGGGGGCTCGCTTGGCATCATTGGACAAATTCGAGCGCAAATTTGTATCGGTGATATTAAATTGTCTGGCCCGATTTTGTTTCCTCCTCGCTGGCGGTTCCGTGCCTGCTGGGGTCGGACTTCCTGGGCAAAATGCTGATTCGTATTTTAATCGACCAGGGTTGCATTGAGCTCCCATCAGGCCGACGCATGGCGTTTCTGCCGTCCCCCGTTGCGGGTCGGACGGCGTTCGCAACGGTACCAGCGTTCGTAGATAGAACAGTACACGTACCGCCGGGAGCACAAATGTTGGTACCTCTGAAACTTCGTCGGCCCTTCGCTAAAGGCATGGTGGACCAGGGGGTCCTGCTGGGACCGTCTAGGGCCGGGGTTAGCGGACCTAACTTAATTCCGGCCCAGACCATCGTTAGAGGGGACAGGGATCCTTTCATCGCGGTCCTTAATGTGGGGTCGCAGACGGTGGTGGTTCCACAAGGGACCGTGCTTGCTCACGCAACGCCGGTGCCCTGTGAGGAACCCGTCACGAACCACGTAAGCACTGTCCCTCTGCCGCGACCACATTCGGACAGCGATGAAGGGTGGCTCGAGGCGCTTTGTGCGGGATCGACGGACCTGTCGGATTTAGAGCGTCAAAAGCTTAAAACACTGTTGCGTGAATTTTACGACGTTTTCAGTCAGAACAAATTCGATTTGGGTTGTACCCATCTGCTGCGTCACCATATTGATACAGGTGACAGCGCGCCAATACGTCAGAATCCTTTTCGGTTAAGTCCCGCCGAAAAGGACCATGTCAAATCGGCCGTTGATGACATGTTAGCCGCCGACATCATTTCTCCCTCTACCAGCCCTTGGGGAGCGCCGATCGTCCTGGTTAAAAAACAGGACGGCTCGTTGCGGTTTTGCGTCGATTTTCGTCGCCTCAACAAAATTTCTGTTGCCGACGCATACCCGCTCCCACGGATGGACGAATCGCTTGACGCCTTGGCGGGAGCGCGATTCTTCTCCACATTGGATTTGCTTTCGGGATTCTGGCAGCTTCCTCTGGACGATGATTCAAAGCCTAAAACTGCATTCCGTACACCGCACGGCCTGTTCCAATTCAACCGGTTGCCGATGGGACTCCACTCAGCGCCGGCAACTTTCCAGCGATTGATGGAATTGGTTTTGGCTGGATTGCAATGGGACTCGTGTTTGATTTATTTGGATGACGTTATCGTCTTTAGTAAAACATTTGACGAACATCTCCAGAGGTTGCGGGCGGTTTTCCTCAAAATGCGGGCTGCTAATCTGAAGTTTAAACCCCAAAAATGTCATCTGTTACGCGAATCTGTGCGTTATTTGGGACACATCGTCGGGCGCTCAGGTATTGCTACCGATCCCGCCAAAACGCAGTGCGTCAGCTCCTGGCCAACTCCCACCTCGGTGGGAGAGGTCAGGAGCTTCGTTGGATTCGCGTCGTATTACTGACGGTTCGTCGCGGATTTTGCGACGATTGTGAAACCCCTACACGCTTTGACG